TCACCATCGAGTTTGAAGCCTGTGGCCCCGGGTAGTGGAGCCCCTAGGAGCAAACCTGGCATCTCTTTGTGGCGTTCAGCTAAATCTGTTGAGTGCATGTCCAAACGGCTGAAAGTTAGTCTGTCCCAATGCGCGTCCGATGTCTCCGCTGTAGATAAGAAATTTAGCCAGTGCAGTACCACTTCTATTGCCTGGGTATACTTAACGTGTACCACGCAGTAGGGATACACGACCACACACCGGAGCTGCGGTCGTGTATACCAGCTTGGAACACGAGCGCTCTCGCTCCGCGTGCTCCGAGCTGTGCTGGGTTAACGCTCGGGCACCGAACCCCGGGTTCGACACAAGGGCGTTGTAGTCGTCGTCCGAAGAGACGCGCTCCCCCATTGGCTGGTAGGCACCAGCCACACGGCTGCCTTCTCCTTTCTCTTTTGCTCGCGCCACAACCATCATGGCGGAGCATGAAGCGGCGCCGATCGATTCGGATCTTCCTGCCGTGATGCCGCCGCCGCTGCTACTGCGGGCTGAACCTTTCCTTCGCACGTGGGAGAGCGGCAGATGGAAAGGAGCGAGGAATCTCCACGACCCTTGACGGGATCTCTCGACGGTCGATCATCCCCCCGGCGATGCCGTCGAAGCATGCGTGTCGGCGGGGGAGACTCCCATCTGTTTGAAACATAAAAGAAAAAACAACAAATTTCTCAAACTGTTTATTTTTGTTCATAACAAGTTAATCGACATTTGGCTTTTAACCAGACATGTACACGTTACCCAAAAAACTAACTAAGTACCGTTACTCGTTACTCGCTCAAAAAGTAACTAAATATGTTACTTGTTACCGATTTCCAAAAGGAACGCGTGAGTCACCTCAAAAGTAACGAGTTACTTTTTACGTTACTGTGACGACCAAGTTCACAACTGTTTTTGTTTCATAGTTTATTGTTATCTTTTTAGTAGTTGTTGCACTTAATCAGTAGCTGTCTCTTGAAGTTTTCATCAGTTAAGTTTCCCCGCTTTGTTGAAAATACATCTCCGGCGACGCTGAAGAGTCGTTCCACCGACGTGCTCGAAGGAACGGCGGTGTTGTGCTTCAGCAAGAGCTGGTGAATCTGGGATTCCCCTCTCTCTTGTGTTCTCTCTACTTCTAAACTTCTAATTTGACAATGAATTATATGCCTTCCGCGGTCGGCAATGTCCGGGTTTAGATTCGGTTCATACTCGGTTCCAGAAGATTCAACTAACGAAGATTACTGTGTTCGCTGGGCGAAGAACATTCCCAGCTGTAGAGTTCAGTATACAGCAACGTATATCGCTGGAAATGTTAGTCGAACTGCTCGACTGACGTGTTCAGCGATATACGTGGCTGTACTGTCATACTCTTTAGTTGTTTTTCGGGTTGCTCACTTACAGTTCTCGCAATAGACGGATACTCAGGTTGGAATAAAAGCGAGACTGTTTAAACGTTATTGTACACGTTACTCCTCAAAAGTAACGAGATACCGTTACTCGTTACTTGGCCTTAAAAGTAACTAAATACGTTACTCGTTCCTTTACTAGAAAAGTCACTAAATACGCTACAGGTTACCGAAAATAGTAACTAGGTAGAAGTAACTCGTTCCTTGTAACGCGTTACGTACATGTCTGGTTTTAACCGAAAAAAACCCCGAAAAACATCCGTCGGTGTCGAAATTTCAAAATCAGATTTGAAGCCGAAAGGCAGCGATAAACGACCGGTGGTGTCAAAAATACAAAATCGGTTTGAGGGATGCTGGACCGAAATTCGGAGCTTACAAAACAAGCCTGGAGCGATAGGCGGGACGCTGCAAAAACCCCCAAAACATCACTCATACAGCAATATCACGGGTCGCAGTATTTTTGGAAAAGAAGTGCGCGATTGAACACGGCCGACGAGGCCGACGAGATGTCACGTGGCGATTTTCATTCCCTCTCCTCTTCGCTTCGTCCCGTCGAGCAAGTGAACCGAAGCGAGGACGAGGGAAGCCAAGGCCGCTCTCCCTGATTCTCAACTGTTCCAGTAGGACCGTGACGTCACAGTCCCCTCTTGATCGCGGCCTTCTTTTCCAAAAATACGGTCATCCGTTTGATGTTTTTCAGTTCTTAGCTAACCGCTCAACGCTTCTATTGTCTTATTTTGCGAAATCCAAATTTCGGTACAACATCCTTTTAAAGGCCGACGAGCAGCAAGGAAGGAGGATACTCTCCCTCAAATTCCTCCTTCAGTCCGAAAAAGAGGGAGAATGTCCTCCTTTCTGTGGGGAGTAGCTCAGAGACCGGCTCCCATGGGAGAGGAGGAGAGAAGAAAATTGGGAACCGGTTTTCGTCCCGGCAGGAGACCATTCTCTAGGGCGGCCTAGCCAAGAAAATACTGATTTCTGAAAATATTTCGAAACCCTCCCCACTTAGGCTTGAACTGATTGTTCTCTTTACTATATTTTTTCACTCTAATCACAGTTTTTAGGTTCCATCCGAAAAAGGCCACCCAAAATGCAACGATATTTGAATAAATTAATAAACACCAAAAAGCATTAGCCGATTTTTGTTATAAATATATACCGGACAATCAACGGCCCAGTTATATTTTCTTGCGAACAGGTAGCCAAAAGATTTGGTTACAAAAACAAAACAAAACATGTCCCTATATATTCCTCTTCATTTTGTGCAAAACGTTTGCGGCATACACACGGAAAAAAGAGAGGAAATTAAAACTTAATGCTTCCTACTCTACCGGTAGCAAAAATAAACTAGGCATCGCCGAGCGCTCATTCTCCGCCCAAAGTTAGCGCTAGAGGTCACAACCAGATGCCAAAGTGTCAGCCCGATCCGATTCTTTATTCAAAAGTTACTATAAGTGATTTTCTGAAAAGTTCTATGGAAAAATGGAGCCCCTTTTTGGCCCGGTTTCGGTTTGTGGTACCATAGAGCCCCATGTATTTGAAAACTCCGTCGGTCGCCATTTTCCCATGGAACTTTTTAGAAAATCACTTATAACTTTTGAATAAAGAATCGGATCGGGCTGACACTTTGGCATCTGGTTGTGACCTCTAGCGCTACCTTTGGGCGGAGAAGGAGCATTCCGCGATGCCTATAGTTTATTTTTGCGGTAAATAAAACCCTGTAATTTTTTTTTTGTGACACCCTATATAATAAAGTGTTCTTCTCTTGTCTGTTACATATATTGTAGAGTGGCTGAAGGGAGGAATTGGAATGGTTGATGTTGTATGATTTGTTTGTTCGCAATTTGTGAGGACCTCTAGATTAAGAGTATAACTAAGTGTGCGTACACCTGATGCACCGTAGTGTAACAGCTGTCACTCTTAACAAATGGTGTAACCGGTTCCTACAATCTATCCGGATTTTGTGTGATTGTCATTTCTATCTTGTATAGAAAACTTCAGTGTACTAACAAATCATAAACTTTTCCGTATTTTATTACCTCCGTATCGTCTCATGATTTCTTTAAAGAAATCTACCACCGCGTATCAATCTATCTTCGCCTTTCCGTGGGCATCACAATGTAAAGAGGACCTTTACTTGCGTAATCTGCAGAATGGACCAAAGAGAGACTTCCGCCCCACAGACAGCCTTGGATTTTTTTAAGTTAAAGAAAACGCTATCTGACGGCGTTATGGGACACGTTGATAATTTGTTATAATCGTGTCGTATTATAGCTCGAGTTTAAGTTTAATTTTCGTCTCTTTGACTCGTGTTACGACTTATGATATTCTGAAGTGTCGTTTACTCAAAATATTTTAAGCCCCGTCTTCCATTAGTTTGAGCAACGGCGTCGTCTTTCACCTATCTTCTATTATAAAAATCATGTATAGAGCCGCCATCATTTATATGAATTTAGCACTTGCTTTTATCGGCCACTTTTACACTCCATCACCTCGAACAACGTATAGTCTTCGTAAACAAATTCATCCAACCTCTTTCTTGCTCTTCTTACATTGTCGTCTGCGCTCTAGAAAGGTTCGACTCGTAACAGAAACAGGGCACCGCCGGTCACATAAAGGTTGATGGTTTCATCAGCCAAGGTTTGATAAGGTTCATGCTCCTATCGGTCGGTCGCTACACATAACCGCTCTTACGTATCCTCAACGTTAGGTATATCTACACGGTCGTCGTTTGACACATGCCACACAGACGTCAGTGGAACACATATGCGTCATAAGTGGTATTTGCGTCACAACGACGGCTGACGTTGTAACGGGAGCGTTCAAGGGCCGCCGTTTTATAAATGGACACCATATAACGGTGACTTCTGTAGGACTGCGGGTTCACAATATTGTCTTTTGTAACATTGCTCGCGCCTTGTGTCACGGGGTTTAAATATACGTGTGTAGCGCATAACAAACCTGAAGTGGGTTTCTCGGGACATGCACGTGAACCAAAATACGCGATGAAAAAGTACGATCGATAATATTTGCGGGGTTGCCGTATGAATTAACCTCGCAAGCCTTTTCAATGAGAGTCCCCAAATAAGATTTTAGATGGGCATCCGTGTAGCGACAGCATCACTTTCCATACAAGAAGCTAATATCGTCATAATAATTTGTTTTAATTACAATGATTGGAATACACTGAATATACTGATAACCATGCTGTGTGTATAAGACGTTGAATTTTTTGTTTAATAAAAAAAGTATGGCTTTACCAATAACATTTCAAAAAACGAAGGAAAACAGCTACCAGGGCAAATCCAAACATAAGGTTAGATTTGTGTAGGGACAAAATTATGAGCTCAACAGGAAGGCAGCGTTTTTTTTTAAATTAGTTTCCCGCCAGCCTTTACAGTTATTTTAATTTGCGATCAGCGTGCAGATTACGCAAACCAAGCGAATATGTTAAATACATCATTCTTTGGGAAGTTGAAAGGCTAACTTATATCTTCTTGTTCAGTTTGTCTTGTAGCGCATTGGTTCCGAAATGGAACGTTAGATATTAAACCATCGCTGCTCTTCTAATCTCGTTTCAAGCAGACCATCCTGAACTCGATGCACAAGTACCAGCCCCGGTTCCACCTGGTGCGCGCCAACGACATCCTCAAGCTGCCCTACAGTACCTTCAGGACGTACGTCTTCAAGGAGACTGAGTTCATCGCCGTCACCGCCTACCAGAACGAGAAGGTGAGCTCGAGCGCTCGTCTCTAGCCGGGGGGGGGGGGGGGGGGGGGGGGCTCGGGCTCACGTGCCGCCGTATAGGGTTGTGAATGCAGCGGAAAGCGTGGGCTGGTACTCATCGTGTTAAGCTGTCGTTGTTTTAAAATGTCTTTATATGAGGGAATAGGGTACGACCGGCCCGTTAACAGACGTCAGGTTAGGCTCGTCGTATTTTAGAAGGAGGCCGACGCACTCTTCCTTCTCCGGAAGTTTCTTTCACCTTGATGTACCCTTTTTTCTCCTTTACCCCACCTACCCCTGAAATCTTTATTCTCTCCCTTTTAGAGCGCAGCTCTTAGGTGCCCGTTTCCGGCTTGAGCGGCGTCGGCGTCGCCGTCGCCATCGCCGTCGCCGTCGCCGTCGCCGTTGGCGTAACTGCGCGGAGCATTATGGGTAAATTTTCCCGAAGGAACCCGAGGTCCTCCCGAAGGACCTTGGTTCCTTCGGGAGCACCTCGGGAGAATTTCGGGTTCCTTCGGGAGGACCTCGGGAAGACCTCGGGTTCCTTCGGGAGGACATCAGAGGACCTCGGGAGGGCCTCGGGTTCCCTCGGGAGGACCTCGGGTTCCTTTAGGAGGACTTCGGGAGGACCTCGGGAGGACCTCGGGTTCCGCTGGCGACCTCGGGGAGGAGGGTCACGTGAACCCCCCAGGTCACGTGACCCCCGTCGAGGTCACGTGAGCCCCCCAGGTCACGTGACCCCCCCCCCCCCCCCCCCCCCCCCCGAACGCGTGGCCCTCAGTACCCTTCCCTCCTCTTCCTCAAAAGCTGCGCTCTAATTCGGCGTTACAGGAACTGGTAAACGGTTTTCCTTTTTTTTTTTACCTTATCTCTTTATTTTCTTCTTTGAATTTTCGGCAGTTTGTGAGTGGTGAGCACTAAGTGGATTTTCTTGCTTGCAAAAAACAAAAAAACTCGAAGTTGTAGGTTCGTCCTAATGCAGTACTCTAGTCACGCTTCAGAAATATATGGGTATTTTAGGCGTGTGATACGTGTATTTTGTCCAATCATTCCCGCACGATTATTCCGCTGTTTGGCTTTTTTGTTAAGATTAAAAATTCACGGTGCTGCTTCTACACAAGCATGTGATAGCCAGATGCATTGACCAAAAACAAAAAAAAAAGTTTAAGCTTTATTTTTTTTTAAATTTTTAACGAATGTTTAAGAGGATGATGCCTAAGCGACTATAGTCACTATAACCTAAAAAAACCATGCCAGTTTTGAGCTTAGTTCATGCCTTGCTTCAAGTAGTCCTTACAAGACTCGTTTGTCAGATGTTCGTATTTAAAAACACTATCCTCATAACACATACTAGTTTCGTAATTCATAGAACACAAGTTAAATTAAGAACGCCACCCGAAAAGCCGAACTTCTTTTTGCTGGGGTGTTTGAGGGACAACGTGCATGGAGTTGCCTGACCTAAGCTTCTCCTTCTGCGGTGCAGTACAGTAGCAAGGGCGAACAGAAGAACACACAATATAAACGAATCAAAACGTGGTGTATGGTGCTTGAACGTACCGCGTAGCAGGCATGCTCTTTATATAGTGCAAAACATTCAAACCAGCTTGCTCGCCTTCCAGATCACGCAGCTCAAGATCGACAACAACCCTTTCGCCAAGGGATTCCGCGAAACCGGTGCTGCCAGAAAAGACAAAAAGTGAGTACAAGTTGTATACTTTTTCCCAAACTATAAAAAATGCGCCCTCAAAAAAAAAAAAAAAAAAAAAAAAAAAAAAAAGAAATACAGTTGCAGTTGATTTGATTGACTTTGTGAATGCATTCGTAAAGCGCCCCGAGTACCTCAGCTCAACGCATCAAATCTAACGATGGCGTATAATGTAGTCACACACAAGATGAGGACGGCAGGGATTTTCTCCCTAAACGCACGGCGAAAGACCCGATTCGTTGCCTTCCACCCTGCTTTGGCTACGCAAGGCTCACCAGACGACGGAGCATTGTCGAAGACGGGAAGGTCGCGCTGGAGGCGGGACAACTGAAACTCCTTTCTGTTATCCTGTCAGTGACTATAATTATATATAAGAGAGTGAGCCATTTTAATGGTACTGCGACGAGCACGTGGTCCCAAAAAGAACGCTTCCTAAACAGCCTTATTCCCCGCGTGTCTTGCAGAAAGTACGCGCTCCCGCCAGCGTCCAAGTCCCTTCCTGGTGGCGCCATGGCGCCGAGCGACGTGAGCTGCCCGACCAAAATCGACGTGGACGACTCGTACTACAGCGACGACGACCGGCGGACGGAGCAGTCGCTGTCGGCTGACGAGGCGTCCGCGCCCCCGGGTGGCGACCTCTCCCCTCGACCGGGCCTCGACCTCGGTCGCTCTCCGGGCTCTCCGGAGCAGGCCAGCCTGAGCGACTACCTACCGTTTGGCGCCGGCCACACGTCCTTCCCGCTGCAGTACCTGTACAACCAGAGCCTCTACCAACAAAGCCTCATGCTCCAGGACATGATCATGTCCTCTGCGGCCGCCGCAGGCGCCACGTCACCAACGGGACGGCCGTCACCCTTCGGCTTCAACCCGTTCTCGGTGCGCAACCTCTTGATGGCGAACGAGCAGAACTACCTGAAGGCGCCCAGTCCACTGAAGATGGCGGACGCGGTGAGTCAGGAGCACCTCAAGAACCTCCGCTTCTTCCCGTACCCGCTGCCGGCGTGGCGGCTTCCCACTGGTCCCGGGGGGTCTTCGCCTCCCCCGCATCCACCGACGGCGCATCGCCCGGATACGTCCTCGTCGCCCAAGTCGGACCCCGGACCGGCGGCGTCTCTTCTGCCGGGAGCCTTCTGCGGCGTCGGCGGCGTCGCGCAGTCGGAGAAGTTGTCCTCCAAGGACACCGACGAGGCACGAGGGTCTTCGTCGTCGCCGCTCGTGTCCCGGAGTCCGGTGCGCCCAGTGACAGTTCAGAACCACGTCGACGAGAACGCGCATCGTGACGAAGACTGTGCCCCCGTGGATGGGAAAGACTAGCAAAACCATTCCACGAAAGAAAACGTTTCAGTGAGGCGTGCCTGTGTACGTGCGCAATATCCAGACGGGTTTCTAAAAATAGAACCTTTCCGTCGTCTACGTCGGACACGTCGGACTGACTGACCTCAGCGTGCGTGTCCCGTCGATACACGATGCGCATTCAGGAGACGCGTGGTCGCGGCTTCAGAGGTGAATGAGCGCCGGGACGTTCACAATCTTTGCTGCAGCAATCAGTACCGTAGGCAGGCTTTCCCCTTTTGCATTACCTGTTTTATTTTTTTTTTCATGCCTGGGTGGTCCGGGCTTTGACTCGGACGCCATTGTTTTGCCGTTGCGTTGACCGAGTGAGTCCTCTTTAGAAGGTGCATGCCCAAACCGCCTGGCGGTTGGGCTTTACAATTCAGTCACGTGACTCGAAGAAACCATTAGCAAACAATGGAATTCCAACGACCATTCTTGATTTTCTTCTGAGTGGCGTAGTCCGGTGTTTTGGAGAGGTTTCTTCACTATGGATGCAAAGAACCTGGTTCAGCGTCAGGACAGGGACATAGCGAACGAACTGCTTGCCGATTCATACCGCGTCCCAGGATTCGCGCGTGCTAATGGCAGTGCTGTCGAGTCTTTAGCAACGTACGGTGAAAATATTTATCGGAAGTCTAGGTACGGCCCAGTTTTAACTAGTTTTGCCCTGAATGCGAGGAGGCTTATGAAATACTGAATGGAGGATGACTAGCTTGAAGCTGAATTGGGCGTTCATCAGGTTTGTGATAGTTACTATTAAAGATCGAATACATATTTTCGTGAGTCAGAGACCCTTCAAAACGCAAAATGCGAAGAATCAGTTTTACACGTTTTATTGCATGGTAAACTTTAAACCAGTTTGGCTTAAGATTCGTAATTACCAGCAAAGAAAGATGATTTTCAGTTTACTCGTGCAGATGGTCGGCTTTTGCGTCAGATATTTGTCGATTCGGTCACGACAGTATCTCAAAGCACCGGCATGTGGCAACATGGGTGGATCATGATGCCGAGTTAACGCGAAATTGGAAGTCAACTTGTAAAACAAGGGAGTCTACGTGACACATTCGATGAATTGGTTGGACTAGGTTACTGCGATGGCAAGTAATTAATATTCCCAATATCAATCTTCAGAAGTCTCTATAGTCCCATTCATTACATTATACTCCTCGCCTTCAAGTAGACTGAAGCGACGGTAACGGGGGACGGACGAACTGCTTTAAAAAGCTCCTTGACCGCACGCACACCTACCGAAGCTAGCTATCTGCTCCCGTTCGTTGCCTTTGCTTCAGTCCGCGTCAAAGTCAACACGGTGTACAGGCACGTAGAGTACAGATCGGCGCCATGTATCACGGGTAAAATCAGCCGAAAACGCATCTCTTTCCCAGGGGACCGTAGAAACCTCCGAAGTTGGACCACCCTAACATCTATCTTTTCCGTGGGATTATGCAATACTCCTTATCGCATCAGCTGCCTGCAGAGGCGCGTAGCCCTGTGCGTATCGTATCTAGTCATGCAGTATGTACACAAAACTTGCTACGGAAGAATCTCGCGTATGTGTGTGACAGCTCCCCCGCCTCGTCTCGCTCCCAACTTGAGAGTTTTGCCACAAGTTCTTTCCGAGTGCACCGCGTGTATCCACACCTACGCAGGAATGAGCCCGGTGGAGTCTGCCACTCGTGGCGTAGGACATTGCATTTAAACACAAGGTCCTTCTTTGGCCCCAGGCAGAAATTCCAGCACGCGTCATTCGCGAGTGTACGCATCACCGGCTTTTGGAGCCGTGTATCCCCGAGAGTGCTATTTATTTTGCAGTGGTATAGTTGTGTATAAATTTCTCGCGCTTCGGTTTCTTTCGAGACCTCGCAAGAGTCGAGAGTGGGTGTGCGCGCGTGCGTTTATGAGAGTGTGTTTGTGTGCGTGTGTGTTTATGTTGCATTGAGTTAGTAGGACGGGCACGAGTTTTTCCTCTTATGTGCGATCGTGCAAATTTGTGGCGTTCCTAAGTCCACTTTTTTTGTGTCACACTGATAAAACGCAAATTAAATGGCAAAACCAAAGATTCCACGTGTTCGCTCTAGATGATTTTGTGATAGTTGAGCGGCAGGATGCTGCTCAAGAGAAAGAAAAAAAAAGTACCTTGAAGTGTCTAAAGGTCGTTCACACACCTGCCACTTAGGCACAGCATGATAATAATGCAATTAATGCAAAGGCGCAATCGAGCTGGACAAGAATAACGATAATAATCCCTGGAGAGGGGGAACAAGGGTGACAATGAACAACCACAGATCTCCAAACAGCTAAATGACGGGAGCGCGTCTGAGAAAATCCGCCAGGTCCTGGTATCGAACCAGGAACTTCTCATTTCTAGTGGAGGGCTTTACCAACTGAGCTAACCAGGAGTCGGACGTCAGTAGAGCAAAGGGGTTTTAACAGCTGCCACCAGTCTAACGCCAACAAGGGTGAACTGCGTGCATTTTAAGGTTACGATAAAAATTCAATTAATGCAAAGGTGCAAACGAGCTGGACAAGAATAATGGTAGTAATCCCTGGAGAGGGAGAGCAAGGGGGGGCAAAGGGCAAACACGAATCAGTCGCGCATGAATCACTTAGCTGTGTTTGGAGATTTGTGTTTGTTCTTTGTCCCCCTTGTTCCCCCTCTCCAGGGATTTTTATCGTTACTCTGGTCCATCTCGCTTGCACCTTCGCAGTAATTGAATTATTATTATAACCTTAAAATGGGCAGGCCGTTAATGCTTGTGGGCGTTAGACTCGGGGCAGCTGTTAAAAAAGGTTTGCTCTACTGACGTCTAACTACTGGTTAGCTCGGTTGGTAGAGCGCTCCACTGGAAGTGGAGAGGTCCCTGGTTCAATATCAGGAACAGGCGGATTTTTTCAGTCGCGCACGAGTCCCTTAGCTGTGTTTGGAGATTTGAGTTCGTTCTTTGTCCCCCTTGTTCCCCCACTCCAGGGATTATTATCGTTAGTTACAACACCATGGTGCGTTAGTCAGGTATGGTACAGACCAGGCACGTATAGCCAGGATTTTCTGTGTGGGGGGAGAGGAGGTCCCAGCAGAATGGAAGATTTTTTTTTTGGGGCGGGGGGGGGGGGGGGGGGGGGGGCGGAGCTCCATGCCCCCCCCCCCCCCCCGGCTACCGTGCCTGGTACAGACTCTACAAACATCGACGGAACCAAGATACATGTGAATACATGAAAACGGTGTAGTCACCTCGCATTCGATAGCAACCTCAATGAAAACTGCCCCTTGAACCCTGTCACTGGGCGTGGAGTAAAGTCCCTTCGCCTCAAAAGCAAGTTTTTCATGCATATCAGTTTCATATAACTTTTCAAGTAGGGGTGTGAAGTTTTTGGGGAAGTTGGACGGGTATGTTTTAATTTTAAACCAGACTCAAGTAGACACTAGTGTGAATTATCCGAACTTGTGCTTCATTTGTAATCACCCTTATCTGAGTTTCTTGTTTAAATTTTATTTAAAGGAAAGTTTAGCGGCCGGCGTTTTTTTGGGTATTTTTAATTATCAGTTATAAGCATTGTTTCGTGTTTTCGGATATATCCGAAAACAAATCCGAGAATCACCCGCCGGTAAAATTTTCGCCAATTCGGATTTATCCGCAAAACTTGGATATTCGAGGTCACAACCGAACAATAAATTAAAGAAGAGAACATTTGTGAACTAAATTTTATAAAAGCAGATGGTCAGTGGTCCCGAGGAGAAGCCATTTTAGTTTTCTTTGCAATCTAGGCCTACTGATAAAAGGAGGTTTACCTCTTTAGCTAGTCAAGGTTTGTTCAGGACAGCGGGTCATGGTGCCTCTGGGTCCCGACCAAAGCCATTGTTTAGGTTTCTAGCTGGACTATACTATTTATGTGCTTCTTAAAGGGCCGAGGGGTACTGCTTTTAGAACAGTGAGAGCTATGAATGCGCATATTCCAATGGAGAGGGAGGCCATCGGAAGCTTCGATGCTTCCCAGCGACTACGTCCAGGGGTGCAGTTATTTCAAAGTATCGACTGTTATTGAAGCGAAACTTCTTGGCAACATTTTTCGTACGATATTTGGTATTGCCAATGGCAAAGCGCCAATGCCAAATGCAGCTGAAGACATATCATTCGACCAGTGTTGCAGAATGGGCACCCCCATTCCAATTCCAATTGCATTTCGGGAATTTAGAGTTGGCGACAATTCATTCCTTTCAACACATCGGAAAGGAGACCTGGGCCCATTTCCACTCCTGGAATGACTGAACACCTCCACTCGATTCCTCTCATTTTTAAGCAGAAGAAATGGCCATTGACAGACACAATGTGCTACTGAAAAAAGCAGCAGAAAGTTCTTGGCGTTATCAAACGCGGAGACGACAGCAAAACTATGCAAAAGCTTGCTCAAAGCATTCTACTAAGCCTAAGGCTGGTCGCACAAAGCGCTTCGTGGCACTTGGTATCACTGAAGACATCGATCGCGCAATCAAGCGTAAAAGGCTTGCGAGTCGCAACAGACGCCTAAAATTAAAACCACCCATTTTTGTTTTTGTTTGGTCGCTTGATAAAGCCTTAAAATTGTCGAGTTCGTGCTTGGCGCAAAAAGAAGCAAACTTGATCACTGCTTCTAAAGCGCGGGTTCACATCACCTGAGCGAATGACGTTTTAGTGAACAGCGCCATTTGAGCGAATCGAACTTTTAGCGAATAAGGGCGGCGCGTGTTAACCCAGCAGCGAGCACCCGCGCTGCGCTCACGCCGCTTCGCGGCGGCAGTCTGCGGCGGCTCATTACAAAAATGTTAACCCACTTGGCCCACCCGTAAACGCGGCTTCGCGGCGGCCCGTCTATTCGCGAAAGTGTCTTTCGATTAAAAATAGGCGTTCGCTAAAACATCGTTCGACCAACTGAGTGCAACCCGCGGCAAGAACAGAAAACTGCTGACAAAGTGTTGTCGGTATACGGCGCTAGCACACTGTAGCACCGTATTATGGGACCTGCCTTAAAACGTAAACCGTCGTTTGCTGTACGATTTTTGCAATTTCAGATATCGATTCTTTATTTGTGTTTTACGCAAACACTAGAAGATCGGCGGGTTAAAGCAGGGAGTCGAACCGGTCATCAATTCAATTCGGTTCGGGTTCACTAGCTTTCCATTTTGTTCCGGATCGGTTCTGGTTCAGTGGTGCTTTTGAAATAACGGTTCGGTTACCGGTTCCACCGAGCGAGTTCAGACAGGTTCTTAAAAAAGGAAGGCTCCAGGTACACCCAAGCACTTATGAGTTGTGAATGCGAAAGCATGCACGTCATTCTTCCGCTCTCTTATTTCGTCTGCGGCGTATTTGCGTCGACGGCAGAGCGCGCCCTCTCCTCGCCGCTCTCACCTTGGACGCTACGTGTTACCGGTGCTCTGACAGACACGCAGCGCCATGGTGTGGCGGTCGTTGAAACTGACGCGTAGCGGCCAATGGGAGCCTCGTTCCTTGAACCAACGACGCGCGCCAGCCGATGGGATCGAAGCCGAAATCCACAAGCTTCACTCCGCTCCTTTGGGATTGGGGGAACTAGGTGTCGTTTGGCTAGGCTTTTCGCGTGGTTTCATAAGTAGGAGCTGGCTTCACTTGGAGAAACGAGTTAAGGTGCCGTTTGGCGGCGGCTTCAAAGCTGATGACGTCGGCTCGCTCTAAGGGACTGTTAATGCTTTCGCATTAGAAGTCCACAGCTCCCAGTCGTTAAGAAAAAGTGAGTTCAACACGGTGTCATCTGCATTAAAGAATATGTCGTCGGAGGCTGTGCTGCGAAACAAGGACAGCGAAACAAATATACGCATAAATCTGTTCCGTAATCTTTAATTTTTAATGCAAACACCGTTCTATAGAAATGAAGAAAATCGTTAGGCAAGCGCTTGGAAACTACCAAATCACAGTACTCACATGTAAAGTCAATCAGCGAGCATGCAGAGTGACAGCGTTACGGTAACACGCACTTGCTCGCAAACTACCCACAAAAAAGAAAGAAAAGAGTCGTTTAGTTGTTTAGACAGCAGCCGTTTTGTCTGCCAGAGCGTGACGACGCTGTTATTCACTGCGGTGAGAAATTTGGCCAGTTCAGTATGACTGCTTGCCTAGGATATAAAGAGCACCCGGCAGTACTGTTACACGACCGCACGCCGGTATGATGCGGCAAACAAACTACCCACGCCGCATGCCCGAACGACTTGCTCGAGCGACTGAGTTAAGAAGAGAAAGACAGCGAAGGCTTGTCGAAAGACATTTAAAACAAAAAAATACATAAAAGGACTACGGGCAACTTGCTGTTTCTAGAAAAAGCACACACACGAAAAAATTTTTCACGCACTCTGAGCGACCAGCGTCCCGGCGATCGGTGCTGCAGTGTCGCGCTTGACGTGGCGTCGCCTCTTCCCAGGCAGCACAGACACGTTGAAAAGACGTCGAAAGAGCGTCGAGGACATCAGGAACCACATGTCGAAAGAACGTAGAAAGTCTAAACGTCAGTTCCCTTCGACGTAATATGGAAAGGCTAATGTCTGGAAATAAAGGGTGGATTTTACGTCGACATAACGTCCCACTTAACGACCTTAAAACGTCGAGTTCACGTCTGAATTGGACGGGAGGTCAAGCGATAACGTTTTATAAACGTTGACACAATGCCCCATTTAACGACCATAAAACGTCGAGTATTCGTCTAAACTGAACGGGATGTCAATCGATGACGGTCTCCACCTAGGCCACCGTGGAACAATGGAGTCAACCGCATCTGACTTCTTTGCTTGAAGGTATTTTCGCGAAAGCATGTATATTCGGACGTAATGGACCATTTGCTAAATCCTCAAGTGCCCCGGCCCGCACTCCAGGCTTCATACGATCGGTAATTTCGACGACTTCCATGGTTACACATTTTTGGGTGTAATTCGGAGTCACCCTAAACAAGCGGCCTATAGTGTCCAAGGACCTGTCATATCACTTTTAAGATTTCTCGTCAATGTCAGCGTTTTTGACACTGTGCATGCTGTCGATCCTTCAACCTGGCTGAGCTGCAGAA